GCGAAATCATCCTGTTCGCCGGACTTGCGATTATCGAAGTGAATTTTGAGGTGAACGTCGATCACGTGAATTTCCTCAGCACCTGTTGCCGCATTCGATGGACTGCCGACCGGCACATGCTCATCCCTCTTTTTTTCCGTCGCTAGGCGAGTCTACCTAAAAATTAATAAACTCAAAAATGCATCGACGAGGTGGCAGTCACTTTCGCCCGTCCGATGTTCGTAAATGGCAGCGAGTTATCGCACAAACAACCCTATCCACCTCAGCAGAACGGCGATAGAAGCTTGTCTGACGTTGCACCAAAGTTTCGAAAAGACTTTGCTCTGCGTCGGTCGAATGTCTTCGAAAATTTGGTCGCTGGAGAAAAGGGCCAAGGGAAAGTGTTTCTTGGTGTAGAACAATACCAGGCTTTTGGCTGACGCCAGGTAGCCGGAAACATACCAATAGCCTTCTTTTTCTGTTGTCAGTAAGTCTTTCGGTTTTCGTGATTGTGGCTTGAATGCTTTTTGTTGTTTGTAGTCGTCATTTCGAGCGCAATAAGCTTATCACATGAGTGAGTGGTAGCACAGTGGCAAGGAGGTCGAATTTTAACTGCGGAAGTGCCGGGTTCGAATCCGCTGAAGGCATAATGATAATCTTTATCATAACCTCGATTTCCATTGAGCGAGAAGTTTACAACACGTAGCTTCAGCGCAATCGGTCGATAAACAGGGTCAACATGGTGCTTTGACCATACCGTACCAGAACGGGCGGGGTTACAGCCATGCTATTGGATGCGAACGCCCCTTGTGACTGCATTTCGCTCTGGTCCACCCACTAACTGGCTTTGCAACGTCATAACGAGCATTCGATGTATCCTTCATATCTTTCTGATCGTTTTTCTTAACAGTTCGATTTGCCGCAGAATGATGATGCCTGACATGCCGGACGCGATTACCTGGAATACTTTAAGCATTAGCTGTTTTCACAAAAAAAACCTCCTTGACCCGAACATGCCTGCCTCTGATAGATTTCGAGAAATTTCTTGAACTTATTACATATCTGTCGTAATATCATTGATAATTTCAAGGACAAGAGCACGACGAACTGGGACCCGCTACTACTGCATTACAACGACCATTTCAGTGAATCTGTTCAGTAACATGAAGCGAAACAGAAGGAGCCTGCCGACGTTCACAATTTGTCGTAGTTTCCGAAGCCAGAGTTTGTATTTCATGCGTGGATCTGTTGTTCGGTCCACAAACAGTAGAGTGTGTAGCAAGCAGGGCAGATTTTGTACCGTGTGCGTGATCCTCCGTGGATCACTGCTGAAATGACTGTGAAACTCAAACCTGTGTTTCGAAGCATCACTGACCAGGTCTCCCGTTGTGGGCAACGTCCT